GGTTTCGTCTAATATCAGAGGATTTCTGAGCTTCATTGTATTGTAAGTCTTCTGGGTTGATGGAATGAAACTCTTCTAAGTCTTTTATTTCTCGGCGACGTTTCGGGCCTTAAGCCCTTCTTCAGGCTACAAATATCACATATGTACAAAGCCTACACCAACAATCCTCGCAAGGAGTTAAGAAGGACAATGGAGCTCATTGCTGCACCATGATGTGACATCACTGGTGATACGTGACATATGACAAATATCAGTGTATCACCACCATCTTGCCACTGCTTCGCCTTTCTGGCTGTCTCATTTCTATAGGAAAGGACAGCTGGGGAGGTGAGTCAATGTCGCGTATTCCTGGTTTCTCGCTCATCATTCGACCATCTTGCAGCAAACTCCCGAACCCACTCCACGCCCGGACCCATTCCAACCCAGTCCCGTAGGAAGACGGTCAGTTGTTGATTAATTGATTGCTTTCCCTCTTCGAATATCTTGCGATGTATGTGTAATAGTAGGATTGTTGGTGCAGGCTTTGTACATATATATTTGTAGCCTGAAGAAGGGCTTAAGGCCCGAAACGTCGCCGAGAAATAAAAGACTTAGAAGAGTTTCATTTTATCAATCCAAAAGAAAGCTTCGTTAAAAATACCCTTTCACGCAGTGATCGTTGTGAAGAGTATCGGCAGTGTCGTCAGTGTGCTTTATTCGCATTTCACTGAGCTCATTTAGTTGTTTCGGCAAATGGTTTCAGGTTCTCGGCCTCCTCAGCTGCAACAAATGAAGCGTTTCCAAGATTACCAAATCGTATTGTTCGCTCCTGAAATGGGAAGAGAAAAACAATGATCATTTTCGTTATATTCTTAGCAGTTCGCAAAGTAATTCTAGCAATCTAGCAAGCTGTTTTGCTGGGCCTCATATTTGGAAGACAAGCGGATCGCAATCTTAAAACAGCGAGCATAATGCCTATGCACATTGTGTGTCTGTGCACGCGAGTGAACTACCAAGGGGGTCCCCCTTAAAGGCGGGGCCTGCGTTCATTTGATGTTCCTACGCCATCTTTGGATATTGTAGCCCTGCCAACGAGGACTGGAAATTGCGTTCATTTCGCAGCTCAAAAATACGAGAGGATAGCACCGCCCGCTCGTGAAGAGGTGCCGCCCCGCCTACCTAGCGACCACACGCCCTTTTTAATTTTTGATGGTTGCCTGATGGTCGGTTGTCCGGCCACAAACTCTCTGCGCTTTAAATGCTGAGAATGAGGTGACGAGAGGAAAAAAGCTAATACCAACAAGTGAGAACTCGTGCACCTTCACCTTCTCCTCGCCTTATGCAGCTACAAAGACGGTTCAGATTAGGTTATACATTGGGCATTTCCGGTGAGTTTGTAGTCTTTTTTCTTCACTGCTAGACCATTTACCACCTAGTCACTGGACTTTGAGCAGCACAACTCTTAATTATTGAAGGCGGGCTTTGCCTTCAAACCTCGCTAATAGAAGGCACGTGATGTCTGCGGAATTGTGGGCGAGAAGTTGCGTGTGCGGGTGGGTGTGGTTGGGTGTGGGTATGCCCACTCGTGGGAAAAGTGTTATGTCACGTCGGTTCCCCGGTGACCATAAAGCGCAGTATGTCCTATCACAATGAACTGAATGTAGAAGAATGAGTAACAATCTATCACAAACCGAGATATTGATAACGGCCTGATTCTTGGTAAGTACGTCAAGACCAATAATAACATCGGCATCCTGAACGTCGGAAGCGAGCACATCAAATGAACAGAGTATGTTCATTCCATCTATTTGCACGTCACCTATACAAACTGTTACTGAGGACAACTCTGTGAATTGATAGCTGCACCTTCTCAATGCTGGAGAAGAGTGCGCTAGTGAAATAAAAGAAGCGGCTAGCGTCAGGCTGCGATCATATTTTGTCATATCGACTTGGCGTCTACCAGTGTCCACCAGAGTCTACCAGCGACCAGGAATAGAGAGTAT